AGCTAAAGACAATGACGAGTTAATAATATTGAGAAGCGGTTCTTCTGCTACAGGTAACAACTCTTTCAGTAATTGAGTGCGTGCAGGATCTAACAGGCAGACTACCCTTTTAAAGATGTGAAAGTAAAACTACACAGTGTCTTAAGTGTTTAAGGACGTTATATTACACTTAAAAATTAAAATAAATAAAAAATTATAAATAAAGAAATATTATTTTTAAACCCCTTTTTGTAATTTAATTTTATTTAATTTTATTTTATTTTAAACTTCTGTTTTACTTGCCCTCATGCTGTTCCAAACCATTCCAAGTATGACTTTATTTCTTCTGTAAAATATGATATTTTGATCGATTTTTCAGTGATTTGTTTGTTTGTTTGTTTTTTTTATTTGTTTTGTTTTGTTTTGTCCATGCATTGGAAGTTAATAGGGTCCAATATTTATTTGGACATTAACTCTCATTGTATATACAAGAAACATTAAAACATCCATCAAAATGTATTTCTTTTGTGTTCCACAGAAAGTCAAACAGGTTTGAAATGAAATGACATGAAGGTAAAACATGACTTAAACATTATTTTAGGGTGACCTATCCAATCAATCAATGAATCAGTCAGTCAATATATAAATAAATACATGTTTTGTTTTTTAATGGTCATTTTTATTTATTTATTTTAGATACCACAATTTTCATTTTTGGGTGAATCTCTTTAAGAAAGAAAGGCTGGTTGATTTCAAATTTCATTTTGACATTATATGGAAATTGAAATACTCAGAAATGTTCTTGAAAAGCACTAGAATCTGAAGGAAACTTGAAGGAAAGAAGCCACAGAGTCACCAGCGATGACTTTTTAAGGGCTATGAAGTAGAATGAAGTAAAAGTTTACCTGAAAGAAGAGAGGCACAAAAGAGCATGTTTTTTGTTGTTCGATGAGCCAGAGATAAAGGTTTTTCAGTGGAAACCTAAAGCGATATGGGTGGCATTCACACCTTAACAATCACCACGCGTCCTGCGATTTAGCGTCACGCTGTGGAGCTGCTTTTCATCCGGCCGACTCGCTGGACAGAACAAAGACCGAGTGCAACACAATACCAGTATATGCTGAAAAAGATGCCGTTTGAGTCCAGTAAAAAACTGCATAACAGCTCAGAAAACGTTTCATCTTTCAGCAGGACAATTTCAAACCGAAGGGCCATGATACCCGATGTTTCTGAAGTGCATTTAAGGTAAAAAATATCGCAAGCGTCTACATCCCCCGAATACTGAGGTAAAGTGCAATCCGGTGACAGCTTATCGTAATAAATTTCTCTCATTAAACGCAGGACTCTTTGGAAGCCCCTGCTGCAGCTTCAGCTATGCAGCTTTTGTAATAGCTTTACAATAACCTGTAGCATGTTTACGTGATTTGTAGTCCGTCACCCCGGGGTCCCCCATTGCGTTGTGTCGACTAAATTGGCTTAGGTGAGCAAGAGACGCCCGCGGAGGCCAGAAGACGCTACGGTTTGTGTGTTAAAACTTTACACGCGCTCCGGCTCTGTGATTAATCACTTTGGTGATTGGGCTGGAAATTAGGCCTGTGGAGGAACACGCAATTACACTCATTTATCTCTCACCTAAGATTGGCGCTTTGTGGGAGATGCAG